GACTTTCCCCCTCGTTGTGTTAACACAGAACATTTTAAAAAAGTTAGTGTTTAGGGTTCAACGTGAGGATATGCCGTATCACTCTTTTTACTTTATAAACATAACACTTTGCTGCTGGTTCGAATACTGACGAAATGTAAGTTTCAACCCAACCCATAGCTAACCCATTGAAAAGTTGCGTTCCAAAATAGACATTTCAAATCCCGCCAGGCAGCTTACGAGAAACACAAAGGATGTCCCTTTCATGAAATATTGTAGTCGACACTTAAATTACTGTTGCAGTTTTTGACATTAACCCGTTTACGTCCCAAGAGTGAGCGACATCAATTTCCTCCTAACATTCAGACGGCATTGAGAGGAGAAAACGACTCGAAGCAATCGGATGAATTTCAGGCTGACAAATAATGAAACCAAGGAAACGTTACGAGAAGTAGGGGGGCAGAGATAACAATAATTATTTGTAAGTGGATGTTGTAGTGAATTTTTTGTCTCAGGTAATTTTTATTTTTCTTTTGTTTCAACTTCATTAACATATGCCATACCCAAAAAAGAAAGAAAGACAACTATTACCTGAGATAAAAAAAATTAACTACAACATGGATATTGGGGCTTAAGAGGTTAACGGTACATTTTTTGAAATGTATTAAATTAAGGGAATTAAACACCCATTTGTCATAAAATGTAAAAGCATTTGCATTAATAATGTAAAGTGTGTTCTGCAAATTATTATTAAAATTTGTTGTGAAAAGGAATCCCTTTCCTCCTCCTCATATAAAGCTTTTCTGAGTACTCCCCACCAATGGTTGTTCTGTTTTACAAAACTTGGTGGATTTATTTGTTTCTTGCTCCAGAAGAGGGAAAGAAAAAATGAACAAAAGACATGCAATGGAAGTTCTCCAAAGGGACACTCGTAAGCAGACAGCTCTTCTTACGGCCACCTTGACAAAACCCCATTTTTCTAAACTTCCATACAAACTCTGTATTTTTACATTCCTGTAAGCGGCCAGCTCCAGTTAGACACCTTTTTAGCATGCTGAAGGTGTCCGCTAATGAGAGCTTCCTCTGTTTAGAGACCAGATATAGGTAGGGCATGATCGCAGGCATCAAGAAAATCAGATTCCATTTAATCACCCACCTAAGTCAACTTATTATAAATTGAACTCATTACCTGCCTTCTCACTGGCTAAGAGCCTAAAGTTAATTTTGGAAATCAGTGCGACCTGCAGATTAGTCATTGTCTGCTAGCAGACAACTGACTTGTCTGTAGAAGTCAAACTGTGTTCTATATTACAGTGTGTCATTACTTTCAATGACAGTGTGTTCTTCAAGGCAATCTATAATAAAGCAATTTTCATTAGATTTGGGTTTTACGATATCCAGATAGATGGAGGTCTTCATGAGTGTTATCAGCCTCTGCCTTTAGCCTTGGGCTGCTAACACTTACTTCAACTTGATCTAATAAATAACTAGGAATAATCAGAGCTTAGGAGACTGCGTTTGATATGTTTGTTAGACGTACAGGCAGGTAACAGTTGAGGGGGAAGGTTGGATGGTTCTTGCGATAGATAAATATGATTATGGCATATTTTGAACGTAAGGGTTGTGTACAGCGAAACCTCTATTTAAACTGTGTATCATTATAAGAAGATTTTGAAAAGATATCGTTGTTTAGTAGTAGCGTGGAGATCTACTGATTATAATTCTAGCGGTTATTGCATCATTGGCCTGTGGGTACCATCCCCCTTNGGTAATTTTTATTTTTCTTTTGTTTCAACTTCATTAACATATGCCATACCCAAAAAAGAAAGAAAGACAACTATTACCTGAGATAAAAAAAATTAACTACAACATGGATATTGGGGCTTAAGAGGTTAACGGTACATTTTTTGAAATGTATTAAATTAAGGGAATTAAACACCCATTTGTCATAAAATGTAAAAGCATTTGCATTAATAATGTAAAGTGTGTTCTGCAAATTATTATTAAAATTTGTTGTGAAAAGGAATCCCTTTCCTCCTCCTCATATAAAGCTTTTCTGAGTACTCCCCACCAATGGTTGTTCTGTTTTACAAAACTTGGTGGATTTATTTGTTTCTTGCTCCAGAAGAGGGAAAGAAAAAATGAACAAAAGACATGCAATGGAAGTTCTCCAAAGGGACACTCGTAAGCAGACAGCTCTTCTTACGGCCACCTTGACAAAACCCCATTTTTCTAAACTTCCATACAAACTCTGTATTTTTACATTCCTGTAAGCGGCCAGCTCCAGTTAGACACCTTTTTAGCATGCTGAAGGTGTCCGCTAATGAGAGCTTCCTCTGTTTAGAGACCAGATATAGGTAGGGCATGATCGCAGGCATCAAGAAAATCAGATTCCATTTAATCACCCACCTAAGTCAACTTATTATAAATTGAACTCATTACCTGCCTTCTCACTGGCTAAGAGCCTAAAGTTAATTTTGGAAATCAGTGCGACCTGCAGATTAGTCATTGTCTGCTAGCAGACAACTGACTTGTCTGTAGAAGTCAAACTGTGTTCTATATTACAGTGTGTCATTACTTTCAATGACAGTGTGTTCTTCAAGGCAATCTATAATAAAGCAATTTTCATTAGATTTGGGTTTTACGATATCCAGATAGATGGAGGTCTTCATGAGTGTTATCAGCCTCTGCCTTTAGCCTTGGGCTGCTAACACTTACTTCAACTTGATCTAATAAATAACTAGGAATAATCAGAGCTTAGGAGACTGCGTTTGATATGTTTGTTAGACGTACAGGCAGGTAACAGTTGAGGGGGAAGGTTGGATGGTTCTTGCGATAGATAAATATGATTATGGCATATTTTGAACGTAAGGGTTGTGTACAGCGAAACCTCTATTTAAACTGTGTATCATTATAAGAAGATTTTGAAAAGATATCGTTGTTTAGTAGTAGCGTGGAGATCTACTGATTATAATTCTAGCGGTTATTGCATCATTGGCCTGTGGGTACCATCCCCCTTCCACATCAATTTGAATGGGGCCTCAAAGAACCCAACGAAAAGCAAATATTTCCCAGTGGTGTGTTCCATCCTTAGGTGGTGCAAGGTGTTAACAATTATTACATTACGTTTTTCTCGGCCTGTCCAGAACCATATCACTTTCAATTCCCATACTCACAGGCAAATTGTACTCTTCACTACGTTTGAGGGCTCTAGACTCGACTAGCTATGATCACATCACTGGGCCGAGATATTAACTTGTGGGCATTGCCCACTTACATGTAAGCTTTCCTTGATAGTTCTCAGCAGTGTGTTCCATCTTAAATTATGCAGGTATTAAGAAAAACGGCCAAGCCAATCAAGCTATATCCTCCACCTATTATGTAACATGGGATAAACAACATGACAGTAACAAAAGGGGGGTCATGTGGAAAATGACCCTCCCTTGAATACATGTTACTCAGAAAAGGGAGAAATGCTTAAAAGGAATCACTACCCTTGAATAAACCCCATATGGCCATCTAAAAAATGCAGTGAAAACCGGAGGTCAAGACCTCACACTGCTACTCAAAGTTTTTTAAAGAACAGACATAAATAATGTGTTTTGCTCAGTGTAAATATTAGACTTTTAAGTACCAACAATGACCAATCTCAATTTTCTTCTAACAAAATTACAATCTCAAATCATAATCATCATAAAATGCAACTGTAGGGGATAGTCAAGTTGCCCTGATGGGCTCTTTACCAAACCAAAAATTGTGTTTAATCAGTTGAGTAAAGTAAACTCAAACTTTAGCTTTCAGTAAACATAATTCCTTAGAATGATGCTGTATATACTCAATACATAACAGAAAAATGAATCGAGAATATTTTATTCAAGTGCACCCATGGGTAAAGTACTAATAGAGTCATTAGGGATGAGCTTTGGTTTGATTCCATCTTCCTGGCAGTCACATCACAGCAAGATTGTACCTTCCTGGAAAGCTAAGTAGGTAAGCTAACATGATCAGCTATCTAAAAGAAAAGTGTCATTTTCAAAACGGGTGGTGAAAACACTTAAATGCAAGCTTACTGACTCCTACATGGATATGCAGAGCCTAATTGTCACTCACACATCACAAGTAAGGTTTGACAGTCACAACAAAATTACGATATAGGCTCTCAGAGTCCCAGTGGGCATACCATCCCTTTCACTGGGTGCCCCCTTCTGCAGAGAAAAGGAGAGAATTAATGATGGTCCAAAGGTTGATTCTGGAACTGTGACCTTAAATACAGTGAGTGAGATCATGGATCAGAAGGGGAATAAAGTACTCTGGGGGTAGGATTGCGGAAGGAAAGAGCCAAAAAAGCCACTTTGACCCAAGCCTCATAATCTAAAAACAGAAGGAAGAGCCAAATATAGCCTCTATAATTCAACCCCCATAACCCAAAAAGCAAGTTCCACAAATCAAATTAAACTTAAGCTCACAGATCATATAGACTGAGCACAGTTTTGAATTGCAACATTGTGAGTATTTAACATATTTAAAAGCTTTAAGAAGAAATTAGCTGGTGATCACTTTAGTGGTTTAGAAAATAAATCAAATAATTGTGATGTGACTATATTTCAACAACAATGTAGCATTTTTTTCGAAAATTTCCTCTTTTTCTTTCAACTTGAATGCATGACCAGCTTATCTACTTGATGAAGGTGACGCTAACATCTTGACAGTGGGGTAAAGATCAGTTTAACACACATGGCTACATCTTGGAGGAACCACTCTGCAATAGATTATAACAGATAAAAGGGGACCTCAAATGAAGGCCATATGCTTGCTAAAAATCAAAATAATAAGCCATAAAATCCTGCACTTAAAAACCTAATCATGAGGTTAAAAATTTTGATAGGATAAAATTTGAGGATTGAGACCCTTTTTCAAAAGGACTAGATGAGCTTCAAATGTTTAGCAAGTTCTTCTTCAGAAAATCAGAAAAAAAATACACAAGTATAAAGGTACTCTACATCTGCCAATCTAACTGCAAA